TTCGGACGGGGAGGCGTGAAGAGTGGGGGGAGGACAATCTGGGGAGGTGGATGACGTCGGGGAGGAGGAGCAGGAGAAGCAGAACAACCATGAGGAGGAGGGAGACCGCTAAGGTGGAACAGGACTCATGTTCCCCTCCGCCCCTGCTCATCCGCCACTTCCTCAAGATAGGAACAAGCGCACGCGCTCGTGAACTATCGAATATGCGCGTGAATGTCTTGGGACGGCGATGTTGACCAGGAAGACTAACATGGGTAGAAGCATGAAGAAGGAGGGCGTTGGAAGCAGACTGGGCTTCCGCGATGGGAACGAAGAGGGAAAGCCGCTCGGCGTGTGGAACAGGAAGGCGCCCAAACGACCGATGGGCAGCTCTTCCTCATTTGGCCCCCTGGCGCGCTGGGGGCGGCGCCTGGCGCGGCCCAGCGCCGTGCGGTCCAACGGGAGGGGTACGCAGAAAGGAGGTCCAACGCCGACCCGAGAACCCCGCTCGGACGCCTGGAGCCGCCTATGCAAGTTTGACCCCACCCTGCTGTGTCGTTGGGCCGGCGCGTCGGAGATCCACAGCGGCTCGCGCCGACTTCTTCCAACCTCCCCACGCTTCCCTCCTCCTCCCCTTCCCGGCCCGCACCCATTTCGTCCCCCCCCTCCCCACACGCAGACCGTGCCCCATAGAAAGCCCCACCTACTCGCCTAATGGCAAGGTCCGCGTGCCGCGGCGCGCTCATTTCGGCACACCCCTCGTGCAGAACAAGCCCCACAAAGAGCTCCACCTACTCGCCCGAGTGACAAAGTCCGAATGCCGCGGAGCGCCCATTTCGGCACACCACGCACGCGCATCGCGCCCCTATAGGGAGCTTCACCGATTGCCCCAGAGGAGAACTTCGTATGCCGCGGCGCGCCCATTTCGGCACACCACCTCACTCACGCGGAACGCGCCCCCCACAGGGAGCCCCACCTGCGGCCCCAGTGGTTGCGGACGCGTGCCGCTCCCCAGCCGTTCCAGCACGCTTGGCGGCGCGCAAACGGGGCTGGGGGGAGGGGGAAAGCTTCTTAGGAGGAGGCTGCTTCTTAGAAAGCGCCGGCCTTGCACCTGTAGATAAGGCCCGCGCCTTCTGGGAAGCCTTCCCCGCTCCCCCCACCCCCCTCTGCCCGTGGCCGGCTCACGCGGATCGCCCTCCAAAAAGGGACTCCAACTACCCAGACATCTGGCCGCTCAATTTTTTTGGATACACTGGCCCCGGAGGTCTGGACCACTTCCTTCGGGCCCGTTTTTCGTCCTGAATCGCTCTTTGACGGTCCCGAGGCCCCGCAAAAGCCCACGGAGGCCGAAAACGGCCCCAAACCCGCCGCTCTAACTTTGTCCGGGGCGTCGGATCTCTGGGTACGGCCCCAATCGGCGCGCCAGCATGCTAACAGGGGATATGTCGACCCCTATCCCAGGCTTCGTGGGGTTTCCGAATGGACCAGACATTTGGGGCCTAACCCTGGGATATACGATGGGAAGGTGCCCATCCTCGATAGGGGTGCGTCCGAATAGCCCCCTTGGGGTGTATCCCAGAGTTTTCCCATTTTTCTGAGCGGCCAAACTTTTTGGGCGAAACTCGGGGATTGGGGGAGAAACATCGCCTGCGACATGCCGCCGCACGCCGCCGGCACACCTCTCGCACGGCCCGTTCCCCCCACAGGGGGCCGCAGCGCGCCGGCGCCTGCGCCTGCTCCGCAGGCACCTCCACGTCCGCACTCCCCCCCGCTTTTTTGTGGCGCGCTTTGTGGAGAGGGGCCGCGCCATGCGCTACCCGCAGCTGCACGATCAAGGCCTCGACCTCTGCCAGGCTGAATCCGCCAGCCCTCTCGGCGTTTGTGAGACGTTTTTCCGTTTGGGTCGTCGCCGTCGCCGCTCCCGCCTTTCCTGGGGCCCTGCTCCTCAATCAAGAGATCCAGCCAAACGGAAATCAAACGTCGTAAGTAATTCGGAGGAGGCCCCTTCCATTTGGTCACTTCCCTGGAAGGGGGGGGTAGCGGGGGGGGGTCCTGAAGGGAGGGGGCACGGGGGGGGGCCCTGTGGACAAGGGGACAGGGGGGGCGGTCCCCTTGTGGACAAGGGGGACTCAAGACCCTTCCCCCCGCCACCCAACTGTGGACATGGGGACCGCCATCCCCTCTCCTCCAGGACCCCCCCCCTTCGGCGGAGAC